CCAACGCCTTCGGCGTCCGCACGGCGGCCGGCAAGAAGCGACTGACCGAAGGTACACGACACCACCGCACACGCGCTCGACACGACACGCGCGCGATATGCGCATGACACACGTGTACCATTACTGTCGACTGAATAATGCATGGTATGGTGGTATGACCACACAGGCCAGCTGCTGGTCGACCTGCGTAAAGCGCTTCTGAGCGAGGACTGGGAAGCCGTGAAGGCGGTGCTGATGAAGGCCGCCAGCATGCCCTACAACAGCGACGAGATCAGCCACGCCAACGAAGAAGTGCGCAACACACACACACACGACACGACACACGACCGCACACATAGCCCATAACTAAGCAAGCGCGTTTGATTGTTGTCTGCAGGTGGCGACGAAGGCGGCGTCGAAGGAAATCATCGGGAAGCTGGTGGAGGCGACGCAGACGTTCGACCTGGAGGCGATGGCCTACGGCATCCAGCAGGCCATCGCCATGCAGCTGAGCGACGCGCCCGAGGTGGTCGAAGCCGAGAAGCTCCTCAAGCAGGCCACCACCGCCAAGCTCGCCCTCCAGAGTGCACTCGAATCGGTACCGCGCGCATCGCCGCACACACCGCACACACGGCACACAACTAACTGGAGGCATCGATGCGTGCTGCAGTCGGTCTTGGACGATCTCGAGCTCGCGGTGGCGCTCGCCCGCCCCTTCGCCTTCCTGGCCGAGGACGTTGCGCGGGCCGAAGCCCTGGGCAAGTCCATCTACGAAAACGACATGGTACCTGCGTGTGCGGTGTGTGCCGTGTGTCGTTGTGTGCGCCGATTTGGTATGCATACTGATCAGTGCGTGTGTCGGCGCGTCAGGATGCTCGCGTGGCCCTGTTCTTCATGGAGAGGCCGATGCTGGACGCCGTCTACGACAAGGCGCACGCCACCAAACTAGAGAGCAACCTCATCAAGGAGATCCGAGTACCTTTACTTTTGCTTTTCTCCTTCTTCTTTTCCTCTCTCTTTTCTCTCTGCTGACACTGTTTGTGTCTTGGCTCCTCCAGGATGCCCTGAGCCTCGACCCGACCAAGTTCATCCAGCTGCAGCTCAAGGTGGCCAACAGGCTCGGCGACCACGCCCGAGCCATCCGCCTCCAGAT